CTCTCTATACAAAATAAAGTAGTCTTTCTGTGTTTCTAAATTATGGAGTTTGAAGTGTTTTTCTAAGTATAATTTTATCGATTTCTTACGTGTGAAAATAAATAATTTTCTTACATGAAGTTAGGGCACTTTTTTTGACGTTGCCCTGGACCTCAAAAATCTCTGAATCGGCCCTGGGTCTATATATAGTAGTAGGACCATCTCTATTAGAGAATGTGTCAACAAGTGTGCTAACTTTGTGCATCCAAATTGTTCGACCCCTAATTTAAATTGTATTTTCACTAAGTTTGAGATTATCTTGCTTTTAAATTATTTTTGGGTCTTAAATGGTGTGCCCAAGGGGCCCACCCCCTATTTTGTCCCCGGTTCCCTTCCCATTTTCCTTCATTTTCTGATTTTTATAACTCTCTCTCTCTTTCTCTCTTATCTCTCATTCTCAACAACTCTATCCACTCCTTTCCGATACACCCTCCACACCCACACTCAGTTACACACGCACACCCTAGGGCTCTCCCAAGCAAGAACTCGAACCCAGGACAGGTCCGTGGTGCACCACAGTGGCGGAGACCACTGTTCTCTTCCTCCCTAGTCGAACTCCGGCGAGTCCGACGGCTTTCGAGCCAATTTCCGGCCAAACTACGGCGAGTTGGCCGGCATGCAAGTTATCAATCTCTTTGTCTCGCTAAGTACTACAACTTTCCTTTTTGTTTCACCCAATTTCGTTGAGTATTGAAGAAGTTATACCCATTTGAATCTTACCCAGTTTCCGGCGACCTCCGTGGCTTCAAGGCTTTTTCCAGTCAAACCATGTCGAGTTAGACGTCGTGTGAGGTACTATTCTCTTTGTCTCTTCGAGAACTAAAACTTTTGTTTCTGAATCACTCGATTCCGTTAAGCATTGACAAAGTTATTAATGTTTAAATGTTGTTTAGTTTTTCGGCCGAAATCCGGCCTTCTCCTTTGTTGGGTCCGGCGACCCATGAAACTGGTGGCCCAAAAACCGGCCCATTTAGGAAGCCCAACCCTTTAGCCTTTTGAACTCATCCCAAAACCCTTAAGAACCCAAACCCACGGGCCTTTAGGACCAACCCGGAACCAATTCAAAGCCATTAACCTAATTATTAAAACCCAATCCACTAACCTTTCAAACCTTAGGGCCTCAAGCCTTTGGGCCATTCACCTAGGGCCTTCGGCCCATTTACTTAAAACCCTAAATCCTTTGGACCTTAGACCCAAGACCCAAAACCCTAAAACCTTGGGTCCAAACTCCTTTAGGCTCAAGCCTTGTTAAGCCTAACCCATTTTAGTTAATTAATTATTTTACTTAATAGTTTTCAAAAACCCAAAAGGTCTTTGGGCCATTTCCTTTTAGGGCCTTAGGCCGTGAACTTTAAACCCTATATTCTAGGAATATTCTGAATTTTATGAAATTTAACTGGGACCCTTCTTAGGGTAATTCGACGTCCTGAACCCGTTTTCGATGTTCGTTTTCTCAGATTCAATTGTTTTAATAGAGTTTTATTAATTGGACCCTTTATGTGTTTAGGGGTAATTATCTATGGCGTTCCTTCTTCGATAGGTTGCGTGACTCTTCAGCAACGAAGTACTGTGAGTGGACCCCTTCTAAAATGCATGTTTTAATAATAGAAATGCATACATGGAAAATCATGATTTAACAATTATGTTCTATGAGACGCTTTGAGATAACATGCTTATTGAGGCTAGTTTGAATTATTACTATTTTTCCTATAACCCATGTTCTTATAGAATATCTAATGAATGACGATATGATATTTAGAACATGTTTCGAACACCTCTTTATAGTATAAATGATGGATGACTATATGACTATATATATATATATATATATATGTGTGTGTGTGTGTGTGTTCAATGGTTTTGTACTTACCTAGTGGTCATTTCCGCTACAAGACGTAGGGATAGATTCCTGGTGTACGTCAGGGGTAGTTTGGTCTTCTTATGTCAAAAATCCACGTGTCGCCTTGTGATTATTTTTTGCTCCACAACAATTGATTCAAAATGAAAATCATCAATTATTATTTTAATTTTAGAATACAATTTCTGGATTCTTATCTTGTCTAAAATACTTAAAATTAAATTTCATGTGGATGATACGAAGAAGAACTACTTTGTTCTTCATCATTGTTATTGACAAGTGTTTAGGTTCGGACTTTACTAAGGTGTGTATGAATTTCTAGGTTCTCAGATTTTAAAACCGTAATTTCTTCTTTGATTTTATTAACTTCATGTTGTAGATCTTTAATTGTGATTTCTTTCTTTTATATATATAAAAGCAAAAAGCGAAGACCTCAGTTGGTCAAGATGGGGCCAAACTGAGAAAACTGACAAACAACCATGACAGCACGTTTGTGTACATTTTTCCAAACGTTAAAGAGAGATTTCCAAACCTTTCATTATGCCAAAGAGAGATTTCAGAACCCCTCAGGGTTGGTTTGGTATTGCTGTGCTTTGAAAAAAAACTGATGTGAGAATCATCGGCTGTGCTGTGAGAATAAGCGGGTGTGCTGTGAGAATGGGTAATAAAAAAAAACGAATTTTAAACAAAAACTAAAATAATCGAAGAAAAGAGTTTTAAATACCATTTTATAAAGGCACTAGGTTTCCACAATCACCTAGCAATCCTATGAATTTCTACCAATTACTTACGATTTACACATGCCACTTCGAAGGTTAGATTTTCCTAATACATATTCTCTTCGTGATATTCAAGCAAGAACGTATATCTAACATGCAATCTGTCTGTGATATTCAGATCAAATATGAACATACAAGACTCATTAAGTTTTATGAAAACCTTTTTAAAGAACCATGCAACCCCTAAGAACGTGATATTCGTCTTAGATGAAATTACAATTATCAATCACAAGAAGCAATACTCAATCCTCCGGTGATATTCCGACCGAATTGCATCCAATTACTTGTCTAAACGTCCTAATGGTGGCCAATCATCAAGATAATTAGATAGTTTAAAACAGTGATCGATAGTTCAAAGTGTGCATGCAATCAATCATAAGCAATTAAATAAAAATTACATATTCATGCTAAGGCTCAAGGTTTCGCCCTAGCAAAAGGAATTAGTTATGCATATTCATAATCAAAATCATAGAAAATATTATTAAAAATAAAAGGAATGAAAGCACCTTAAAGTAGAAAATCTCCAGGAACCCTAGCCAAGTTCTTTGTCTCTGAAGTTGAATAATAATAAGCATCCCCAAAACTGTAGATGGCCACAACAACATGGCCAGTCTAGAGATTTTTGAGGCCTGGGGCAACGCTAAAAAATATGCCTTAACTTCACATAAGAAAATTATTTATTTTCACATAAAAGGCATCGATAAAATTATACTTAGAAAAACATTTCAAACTCAATAATTTTGAAACACAGAAAGACTAATTTATTTTGTATCAAGAGAAGGAAACCAAAAAACTCATGGCTTACTAGTAGATAAATGAGTTGTTTTCCATTTGAACTTTTAAAGTGTTTTTGTATAAATCGTGAGATATTTTTTCTTATTTACTAACCTTGTCAATATGGGACTAAAAAAATAATAACGTTTTCGAGTCTTTAATTGATATGTATAAGTAATGAATGGGCACTAAGTTAAACCTTATGATGACACGTCATATGATTTGTAAATTTGCTTTAAAAACTTGGTCTACGCATTACTGTTTGTTGAATATTAGACTTGAATTTGAACGAATATTTAAAAATAGCAACCCATATAGCTACTAGCTAGTAACTAAAAATAAATTAACAACCAAACAAAAATTTGTTAAAATTGAAAAGAATAAACACGCACATATCATTTCAAACTTAGGACCTCTCGTTAATTTTAAACAACAAAAATCATTGCTTTTAATTAAACTTCTTGAATAGTTAACCAAATTTTATAAATTTATACTCTTATGAAAAAAAATTGTAAAAATTAGAAAGTAAATAAGCACACGTGGTGTCTTGAACCCAAGACCTTCTCATTAATTTCAAATTACAAAATCACCACTTCTAGTTAAATTCTTTTGTCATTAAACCAACTTTTTTAAATTTATACTCTTATAAAAATATATATAAATATATCACCCGAATAATTTTGGTGCCCCCAATTTTTTTGGGCCCTAGACGGTCGCCCTGCCTGCACTGGGTCTGGGCCGGCCATGCGCAACAATATATTTGCTCAGCCCTTACAAACCCTAAGACATAGGTTTCTTATTCCAACTAGGAAACTAAGAAAAATAATAAAAATATCTTAGAAAATAAAACCCTAATTAAACTAGGAGAATCTGCCAAGTACTTGTCCAGCCACGTTTTAGCCTCAGATCTCCTCCAAATCCTGCCCAAGATAGGTTGTTATAAAGATAAGGACGTTCAGAACACATCTCCAGAAGGCCATGAAACCATCCAAGGTCATCTTGGGCTCCAAAAACGCACTTTAAGCCCAGAAACCTCATTTTCCAGCACCGCGCATCGCTCTTTTATTTTATCGCCAGAAAATAACCGCTTGATGGAAAAATCCCAAATTTTGATACGACCAAGCTAAGTGACTCACGAACGTCTTTCAACTGGAATTACTTCAAAATTCGTCCATTTGACCACGTTTTTCTCTAGAGGAATTCGAAAGTCCTATATTGAAAATACAATTCAAAGTATCAAAATTCTTCCAAAATATTAACCAAAATATACTAAGAATAGGGTTAAATATATAATATAAAATTCACTTATCAAACAGCTAATGCCTAAAACAAAAGATCTTATATCTCGCGCTTTGTACATGTTTGACATTGATTATAACCGAAAGCATCAATTTTCTTAATCATAATTTAAGGATCACCTGTACAAAAGATCAATGAAATTAAAATCGTTTAATCATCAATATGTATCAAACAAATTAACGCATATACACGCAAGTACTATCTTTCTTTTTAAATTCTTTTTTCCAAGTCCATGCTATCAAAGTGGTCAATGCAGTTAGCAAGAAACAGATAAAGAAAGACCCTCTTTTGTCGTCTCTCTATAAAAACAAGGCCGTCTACTTGTCTATACTTATCCCCTTGAGTGTCCCTCTCTCTGTACACACTCAACACATGGAATTTGTTTTCTTAAAACATCATGTTCTCTTCGGCCTTGTAATTTGAGCAACACTGCTTCCGAGTCCCGGCATTTGCACAGGTTCAATTTCGGAGATTCGAACTCGGACTGCAGCATTTGGACAAGCCCCTTACCCCAACGGAGAGACCTACTTTCACGTCCCGTCCGGCCGTTTCTCCGACAGCCGTCTTGTAATCGATTTCATAGGTACTGCTTCTGCAACTTCTTTCTGTTTGCCAGCTATGATGTTATGATTAGATTCTCAATTAGGAACTTTAATCTCTCCGTTTTCCTTTGCAATAATGTTTGTTTCACTTGAGGACTATAAAATTAATGTGAAAATGTCACATGCATAGATCTCAATTGTCTCAATTAGCAACTCTAACAGACCAAACTCAAATATTTAGGTCTATTAAAAGACATAATTTAGATCTTTGGATAGTGAATGTTACCCAACCATTCAAATTTAAATTTCATGACCTAAAATGTTTTAATTACTGTAGAATGGTTTTAACCTCTCTTTTTTTTTTTTGTAACTTTGAGTTAGCTATCGTAATTTAGTTTTACGAATGTTTTAACCTAGAAACAAAAATTAAATTCCAACAAAATTTTTAAAACCAAATAAATCACATCAACCAGCCCAACTTCAATATACATTAAAATTTTGTATTTTTTTCTTAAATTAGACTCATCTCAAAAATGACTCACAAAATTATATTCATATAAAGTTTCCCAATATTTAAAGATCCCTCGTGAAAAATGCCAGAGCGCTTCCAACCAAAACTGACAAAAGTGAGTTATAGGGAAACTAAACAAATACAAATCGACAAATTTGAAGCCAAAAGCCGATTTCAGCGAGATAAGTGATTGTCTTCTCTTTCTCTTCTTCTTTGTTTCCTCAGACAGTATGAAATCACAGTTCTCAAAACTACTAGTTGCAACTGCTATGTTAATGTTTCTATCAGTGAGCTTGGCAGCCTCATCGTCTCCATGCAAATTTCCAGCCATATTCAACTTCGGCGACTCAAACTCCGACACAGGCGGCTTGTCTGCGCTCTTCGGCCAGGCGCGTTTGCCCCACGGAGAGTCCTACTTCCATAGCCCCGCCGGCCGTTACTGCGATGGCCGTCTTGTCATTGATTTTATAGGTACTTTACTACATTTTTCATCTTCTTCCACATTGTTCTAAAACGTCCCGCTTAAACATGTCTAGACACTCGTCTAGACCTCCTAAGTTACGAGTTACACTTTGATAGAATCTAAATAACTTTTTTTGTGTGATTGTTTTTAATAAAACGTAAAAGACTTGTTGGATAACAATATGAACACTCATTAATTATATGCTTATTCTAGTGTTTTTAATATATCCGCTTAAATCTTTGCTTAGATGCCTGGATGCTAAATTTATGCCCACCACCAAACTAGCGTCTTTTACTCTCATTTTTTACCCATGAGGATCGACTCAACTATTCATTTCTTTTTTGTCGATCATTTGAATAGAAATATTCCACCGACACTTAGGTTGATGTGCGGGGCTTTTGAGTGTAACCGTCCTTTTTTTTCTTTGGGAAAGTGTGGGTGATTCGAACATAAATGGTTGATGAAGAGCTAATTTTGCCTAACCTTCTTAAAAAAAAGTGTGACGTGTAAATGTGGATAAGATAATTGAGTCAGTGTGGGAAGCTACCAAAAACGCCAACCCACCTCTGTTTTAACTTATATGAGATCACATGTTTTATGCAGGAAAAGAATCTAACCAAATCAGATTATCTGACAATTACTAATTGGACTGAATCTGTAATATTAGTACTGCGGGTCTAGTTTAGCGGTACTTGGTCGACTCACATGAACGACGTTGACATTTATAGTTGTTTTGAATTCGATATTTGATTAAAATTTTGACCATATTGTATGGTTAAGCTTAAAATTCATCGGTTTAAAGTAGAATATAATTGTATAATAAAAAGAGAATATTTTGATTGAATGCTATGTTTGCAGCCAACAGCCTTGAATTACCGTTTCTGAGCGCATATCTTGATTCTGTGGGAAGCAACTTCACTCACGGAGCTAACTTTGCCACGGCGGGCTCAACCATCAGGCCGCAGAACACAACCATTCGCCAGAGCGGGTTTAGTCCTGTATCCTTGGACGTTCAGTACAATGAGTTTTACGATTTTCAACCAAGATCCCAAACCACTCGTAGTCGAGGTCACAATTTGACATGTGCACATATACTTCTCTTTCTGTATTTTAATGACTTGCATTTGTGCGTTTAGCATACGTGGCAAACTGTGATTTGCACGTAAGGAAACCGAGCAGTGTCCTTACGCACATCTACACAGTTTATTCGGTGAGAAAACTTGTATCAATGTGGGCTAATCCAGAAGATCAGTTGCAATGCAGGTGGAGTTTTTGAACAGCTAATGCCTAAAGCAGAAGATTTCTCTCGTGCTTTATACGCATTTGATATTGGCCAGAATGATTTAACATCCGGTTTGTTCTTGAACATGTCCATTACCCAAGTCAAGGCATATGTTCCTGATGTGCTAAACCAGTTTAACAGCATTGTTAAGGTAATTAGCAATTCAAACTGTGCCTAAATTTGGATTTAATTAGTCATTAATTTGGTTGTGATGTGCTTTGTATGTGTACTCACGCAGTATGTATACAATCAAGGAGGTAGATACTTTTGGATACACAATACAGGTCCCATTGGTTGTCTTCCCTACGTATTGGACCGCTTACCAATCCCAGCCGCGCAGGTTGACAAGGCCGGATGCGCCACGCCTTACAATAAACTTGCTCGGTTTTTCAACCGGGGATTGAAACAAGCTGTGGTTCAGTTAAGAAAAGAACTACCATTGGCTGCAATCACTTATGTTGATGTTTATTCAGCCAAGTACTCCCTCATTAGCCAACCACAAAAGCATGGTGAGCCCTTCGTAGATTGAAACCACTTTTGTCAAGTTTATGATGTGGTGTTTTGTATTCTTCGACGGTTTGCTGACATGTAATACAAAATGTCGCAGGATTCAAGCAACCGATAAGAGCATGTTGTGGTCATGGTGGGAAGTACAACTTCAACAAGCACATTGGATGTGGAGGAAAGATTAGGGTTCATGGAAAAGATGTGTTAGTGGGAAAGGCATGCCAAGACCCATCACTTTGGGTGAATTGGGATGGTGTGCATTTCACTGAGGCGGCTAACAAGAGAGTCTTCGATCAGATTGTAGATGGTTCACTCTCAGACCCACCAACTCCATTGAAATTTGCTTGCCATGGAAAGCAGCAGCAAACTCATTAGAATTTAGATCTGATGCTATCTTTTTTTCTAAAATTCAAATAAAATAATGTCATCAGAATCTTTCGTTAATTTAATCTTTATTTTTGCTTGGATTAAGGACCAAGTGGTGACCTAATGTCTCTCCAAAGTCTTTAAATTCTTTTTTTTCATCCGCTTTCTCCTTCAGTCTGTGTGTATATATATAGGGTGTGGGCGAAGGCCATGAGAGAGTTGAGTTCATTTTGGTTGCTTGCATGAATATTTGTTGTTGATATAATGAAAGAGAATAAGAAGATGAGGAGGAAGCCATGAGCCATTTAACTTGGATATTTCTTGCAGTAGCAGGCTTGCACATACCATATATATATATATATATATAGGAGCAACCAAAGGTATGCGGCTATGTATAATTTTCTTTTGTGTGTGTGAGCATAAAAGGTAGTATTTCATTGCAAACAACCATGACCACACACATTAATGTACATTTTCCAAACCCTTCAACATGTCCGAGAGATTTTCGACAGTGAAAATGACCTTGTTATTTTCAGAACAGCAACTCATATCTTCCATTCCAAACTACCCAACAAACCATAGAAAACAATGGAGCTCCTCCCGAGTCAAGGCATAAAATTCCTCACAATCGTATTAGAGCAATGAAGGATGGTTATTAAACAAAAATGGTATCCCATTAGGCTTCTAAACAGAGGAATGCAAGAGGTAAAACAAGGAGTGTAAAAATCAATCACTCCCCAAAACGAAATGGTTATCCAACCATCCCAAAGGATTGCAGATCACATTAAAACTCGGGATTGCTTGAAAAATAACGGAACCAAGATCTTCTCTAAGATAATATCCATGAAAAGGGGACAAAGTTCAAAATTTGAAATCACATAAAGAAAACCAAATATGTGTTTCTTCTTCACCATTGAAATGGGTTAGATTGCAGTAAAAGGTTTATGAGCTGCATGCCATCACCCCGCAATATTCTTGAATATATAAAAAATGAATTAATGTTGTACAATATTAATAAGTACCTGAGGGCTCGTCTGATATCTAGGAATGAGTTAGATTGTATAACTCCATTATATCAAGGAAAAAAAATTGTGTTCAATGTGAAGGTAAAATATGAATTTTTTATTAAGAAAACTCATCACTTTCAATTCCCAAAATTTTGAATGACTAAAAGAGACAAGTTTCCTTTATCTTAATTAAGAAAACTCATCCCATTCTGATCCCCTAAAAATAAAGTCATTTGCCTCTATCTTCAATTAAGCTTGAATGTTATCCAATCAATCTAATGAATCTTAATAACCAAACAAGCGTAAAAGGATATTATCGTATTGCAAATTAAACAAATTGGTAAAAAACCATAACTACACATTAATGTACATTTTTCAAACCCCTTAATGCGTCGAAGAATGATTGTGTCAAAGAGAAATTTCCACAGTTCCACTTGTGAAAGCAAAGTAAAAAGGATCTTCTTGTTTTTAGATTAAAGAACATTTTGCAACCTTGTGTTTTACGGCTACGTACAATATAATCTATGTTTTACAAAACAAATTGTTATTAACACTTCAAATCCAAATTTTCTCATAGAAGTACAAATGAAATACTATACATAGTAAGGTTTATCTCATTTATAGCTGCACCTTTTTTTTTTTTTTTTTTTAACGAAGCAATATTCATCTTGTAATTTTAACCTTACATCAAAGACGTCTATTAGATATGAAGAACACATTTATTATTTTGGTGAACTGCCAATTTAGTCTCTGAATTATCACATGAGTGAAATTAATTAGGTCCCTAAACTATATTTTCAGAAAAATAGTCATTGAATTAAAAAAATTTGCCAATTACATCCCTAATATTAGATTCGAAGCTACTATATTCAATTTTTCGTCAATTTAAGTCTGTTACTTGCATGTGATACACATTAGGGTAGACTGGTAATTTTTCATAAAGAAATACATGAAGTTAACTTTGGAGGGTAAATTAGGTGTTAGATTTGCAACCTATATGAAATGTTAATGGCTTATAGGCGAGAAAATGACGGTATTACACTCCAAAGTGTGTCATGTGACTTAAGTTGACGAAAAATTGGATAAGCTTTGAATATAATAGTAGATATAAAATTAGCAATTTTTAATGAATTTAGGGACTTATTTTACCGAAAAAATAATTCTGGGACCTAATTTTCACTGAGGTAAATTAGGACTAAGTTGGCACTTCACCCTATACGCAGTTATTATATGTACAAAATGTTGCAGTTCTATTAGAATAGGATTGTGATCATGTAAATCTTATCATATCTAGGATATTCTTGTGGGATTCTACCATATCTCTTAGACTAGATATTATCCTATTAGAGTTGTAATCTTATAGGAGTAAGGAATTTACCTTCCTTACTACTATAAATAAATGCACAATGTGGTGAAATAATACCAGTGTTCTAAAAAACGGCCTAGGCGGCCGCCTAGGCGCTGGGCGCCTAGCAACCGAGGCGTTTTTGGGCAAATCGGGAGGAAAAATCTGGTTGGGCCTAGGCGGGCTAGGCGGCGCCTAGGCGGTCTAGGCGGGCTAGGCGGCTAGGCGGGTTAGGCGGGCTAGGCGGTCCTAGGCGGCCCTAGGCGGTCCTAGGCGGCCCTAGGCGGTCCTAGGCGGTCCTAGGAGGTTTTTTTATTTATTAATTTTTATTAATTGCGTGCTTTTTTCTTTTTTGGTTTCATGGTGGTATACTTATGGAAATGGTGTATATAATTTGCAAATGATGGATTTACTACAAGTTCATCCAATACTTATGGAAATAGTGTACCTAATTTGCATTTTATCATTATTTTATTATTCATACAAGTATAGTTTTTTTTTAGGTGTCAATATGCACTTATTTACAAGATATACAAGAAATTTACCTAAATCCGCCTAGGCCGCCTAGGCGCTAGGCGCTAGCCCGCCGCCCGACTAGCGCCTAGCATTTTTTAGAACCTTGAATAATACATACCTGACAATTACACATCTCTCTCATTCTTTCTACTGTGCCACACCCCTCTCTCTGTCTTCTATAATTGTTCAATAAATTATGCCTACAACACGTTATCAGCATGCTCTTGATGTTGCGCTAAAGAGAGTTTGATCTTGTCAATCAGGGGAGTATTATGTTTTTAATTATTCTTTTTATTATTAATTTATTATTTTATTGAATTGATTTACTTACCATTGATTCAATTTTTTTTTTTTGTTGAACGTGAAACAAAGCATTGGAGATACAATTTCGGCTTTCCAAGAAGGATCTTCTACAAATTTAAAGGCTCAGTGTTTTCTTCCAATTAGCTACACTTCAAATAAAGAAAGATATTTGAAATGACCATGAAGCATGAAAACATTCTCCATGATGCATGAACCCCTTACATTTATATTTACCTATATATATGTTGTATGTTTCATATATTTGTCAATATATATGTGTTTCATGCATTACGCAATTTTGCTATGTGGAATTTGTAAGTCAAAGAATCAAAATAAAATAGAAGCAATTTTGGGTTTTTCCAAACCCTAACCGGAGAAAAAAACAAAAAACAAAAAGGGAACCGAGCAGTCCCTCTCAACTTGCTGTGCACGAGAACCAAGACCACTAGCTTGGCTTCCATTCTTTGTTGGGCTTCGATCCCTTATCCCTTTTGGGTTTTGAAAACTCTAAACATTGACATGAAAAGACAAAAAAAGCCCTGGAGTCGCGGCTTGAAGCCGCTTTCGCGCTAGCTCGCCTGCAGTCGAGCTCCGGTAACCTACGACGATTGGAAGTCGTCCTCGACCTCGAACTTTCAAGATTCACTTCAAAATCGCGACGATGTCTTGGAGATTCTCAGCGAATCTCACTAGTTTTGGACCACCACCGATGTTGAGAAAGTACTTCGTCGTGTGTTTAAGGGTTCTCGTTGAACCCCGACTCGGCCTCATATGAGAACACCACCAAATCATGGCGACGCAGTTTGATTTTTCCGGCAATAGCATGCACCCAGCAACGCTGGGGTGCCCGAATCAAACCCATATTTTTTTTGGGCTTTGTCCAGACTCAACCCAATTGGGCTTCAGTTTTTTTTTTTCCTTTTCTTCTGGGTCTGTTGCCATCTCGACCTGCAACCAGCCTGAAGTTGGGCTAATTTTTTCCTAAAAGCCCACTTGGGTTTCCTTTTGTTTTGGCTGCATGGCAGCTCGCATTGGGTTAAACAGCCAATAGCCTAATGCTGCTGGGCTGCTCATTTTTCGCGGCCCGTGACATTGCAGCAAGCATGCAGCCTGTTTTGCATGTTATTGGGCTGCTAATCGTAGCATACCCGAGCCCAATTTGGGACTTGATTTTCTTGTGTGGCCTGCAACCAACATTAAATTTATGGGCCTAGCCAATTTTTTTGCTTCCACGATCAACATCGAATGGTTCCGATATATTGAATTAATTAAAAGTGACTAGCAACCATTAATCTGACAAGAAATCTAAAATTATTGGTCTGAATATCACTTTTGGACATTAACGAGTCAATATTTTAATTCTCTTCTTTGAACCGTTGACATTCTTTCGTAGTCCCAAAACACTCACACTTGAGTTCATGAAGCAACCCAAATCCACTATACTTGGTTGTATATTATATTCTTTGTTTTTACAAGCACCGACTTTTACAAACTGGAAGTTCATAACTAAACTCAAACATGTAGTTTCGAATTTAGTGCCTTTAAAACCCGAAGTTTTCATAAAAACAATACACCTATGAAAACCCGAATTTTTCGTGTAAACCGTGTCTTAGAACCCGAATGTTCTAACTTTGATGCTTATGGATATCTTATTTCCATAACACTAATCACAATCTTGTTCCCTCCATTCAGTGGATTGTCGAACCGTAACAAGTTTGATTTCACTGATTTAGACGTTTCTTGACAGAAACCACTTTATGTGGGTAGAAGACGTGAATCTCCAGCATCAAGAAGTTGAGAGACCATTGAAGCCAACAATGGCATGGAAGAGCTGAATAAGCCTCCACCATAATCTTCATTCTAAGATTTATGGCCGAAGCATTACAAACGGAAGTACCTCCCGTACGAGGATTCCATGGCTCTTTGGCTCGCTTTTACAAATTGAGTAATCATGAAAAACATTGCCTAAAGCACACTATGATTACATCCATGAATAAGTACGATTCTGAAGTTTATAAATCTGATCGAAATTTTGACTAAAGAATACTTTTCTCGTCCTTCCATGT